ACCTACAGCGGGTCAATTAGTTCTTCAAATGATACTTTTAAGTTAATTTTATAGTTTTGTGATAATAATAATGCTAATTTATTGATAATTTTCTAGTTTTGATTTAAGTTTGCTTGTTTAGSGTCGTCACAGTTGCTAGGTGACAAGACGTACGCCGGGGTAAGGAGGGGAGGCTAGACCGTCCAAATTCACAGACTCTTTTTTTCCGGTCTTCCCGGTCTACRAAGGACCCGGCCCGCCGCGACCGGGTAGTCTGGGTCCTCCGGAGGACCCGTCCTGCCGTTTTGGACGCAGCCAAAATAATCTAAAACAGAGATTTTTAACCCATGCGCCGCCACGAGGGCCTCAAAGGAACAGGTTTTAACTTTGGGCCACAGAGGGCCGCGGGACCAAGGTGCAATACACTTTATCACCACTACAGGCAGTAGTGCGCCACTCTGATGTTTTACAACTTTTTTAATACGTAGAAGAAGAATCTTAGTCTGCCAAGAATGGAAACCTATTTTAAATGAAAAGTAGAAGCAAAAATGAAAGTAACTTTTCAAAAAAGATGCCAAAGTTTGTCACTAATACACATTTAAACAAAGGTATTTTAGTCTTCTTTCACAAATTTATTATTTACAGTTTCCTCCCGAGAGGACAACATAAACCTCAGAAATACTCTTCAAACGTGAAGAATGTCGTCATTTCTCCAACATAAATTATTGTAGAAACATAAAACTGGACATGTGAGACCACCAGGGTCCTCTGCTGCACAGCGACTGTTTGTTTGAGGCTTACTTTTCAGTCTGCCCCAGCTTATACAGCTGCACATCAAAATGTAGCCATTTTATTACATTTTAACATCAAAGTTGAATTTTGGATTTTAGCTGCGTCAACAACCTTAAAAAAACACAACGAAAAAAATTTGACTTTTGTTATTAACTCAGACTTTATGGCTTATAACTGATGAATATTTTCTTGTTTGTTAACTTAGACCCAGACGGTTATTTTATTTATCTGTCAGGCCAACAACTTTGTTTCCACAAGATTCCTGCTCCTCCTGACCCGCAGGTATTCAGAACCGAGCCGGTTCGGTTATAAATATGACCTCCTGCGGTTCGACAGTGAAAGACAGACAGACACCGACACTCACCGAGTTCTGCCGGAGGAAAAGACGTTGTTCCGGGTTCAAATCCCGCAGTTTGACTCCAAACCAGAGAAATTTTGAACAGAAAAAAGGCAAAATGCTTTTCTTCTCTTTCTCTTTTCGGGGCTGAAAGACTGTTGTTTGTCACAATACTGCCCCCTGCTGCTCATCAGTGTTACTACACCTGCTACATTTAAAGGTTAGTTACAATACTGCCCCCTGCTGTTCATCAGTGTTACTACACAAACTATATTTAAAGGTTAGTTACAATACTGCCCCCTGCTGCTCATCAGTGTTACTACACAAACTATATTTAAAGGTTAGTTACAATACTGCCCCCTGCTGCTCATCAGTGTTACTACACCTGCTACATTTAAAGGTTAGTTACAATACTGCCCCCTGCTGCTCATTATACGTTACTACAGATTTCACTCATAATATTTAGAGCCCCATGCAAACCAGCGTTTCCCGGCATTTTCTAAATATTTTAACTTTTGTTAACTTCAGATCTTCGGTATCAATAGAAAACTAACAATCTTGGCTAAGATCTCATGGAAACTATATTTACATCCACCAAACACAGTTCAGACGACAGTCAGATGAACCAGAAAGTAAACAAACTGTACAAAATAGGATTGTTGCAAATCTGTAAAATTAAAACAAATCTGTAAAGGAAAAAAAAGACATTTGTTTTTAAAGTAAGTCAAAGCAGATACCAAAATATGTTGTAAAGTGTGAAAGTTTTTTTCCTCGATTTTGAGGGGAAATGATCCAACTGATAT